CTGGAGCCCAGATGGGAGGCAGACAGCTCCGGCTCGCCGAGGCAGCGCCCAAACCGCGTTCAGCTGCGGGAGCTGCAGCCGCAGCCCGGCCCTGGGCGCCTCGCGTGCCTCGGATTCCTCCCGGCCCTCCCGGAGGGGCAGCTCCAGCGGGGCCAGGGTACCGCTGGGGCTGGGGGTACGGGCAATAAACCCCTCCGGCAGCAACCTAGCGACATTCCAAGCCATTTCCAGCATGAAAGCCATGGTCTGGTTTTTATTAAGTTATCACTTCATCGTGTTCCCTGATTGCCTTCATTCACGCCTTAGTTGTCTACAGGCGCTATTAAAAAAAATAATACATATTCATAGCGCAGCAAATGGGCTCTGCTCCACATTTTAGTGTCAAAATCAAGTTCGGGTGAAGGGCTCCTCTGGGAGCGCTCCGGGGCCGCTTCCCGGGATGCGCCAGCGAGGGGCGGCGGCGGCGCGGAGCCTTCCCGAGGCCGGGGAGGGGGAGGCGCGACACTTCATCTGTCATCTCACGGCAGAGAGCGTCCCCTCCTTCCTCGCTCCCCTGGCAGGACGGCAGAGCAGCACCGGGCGGTCCCGGTCCCGGTCCCGCTCCCGATCCCCATCCCGATTCCACTCCCAATCCCGATCCCGATCCTGATCCCCATCCCGATCCCGATCCCCATCCCGACCCCGATCCCGATCCCGCTCCCGCTCCCGGCCCCGCGAGCTGCGGGCGGGGCAGGGCTCGTGTCCAGGCGGACGGACAGTGGTCACCAAGGACATTGCTCCCTTAGGGACTCAGATCCCGAGATTTCTGCTGCGGGCTCGGAGAGGGGTTTCCTCTCTGTAGGGGGGAGAGGGGAAAAAAAACCAACAAACAAACCGAGAGAGAAAAAAAAGAAAGAAACAAGAAAAAAATGGAAAACAGAAGAAAAGGGAAAAGAGAAAACGAAGAAAAAAGGGGGAGGGAAAGGGAAAAGCAGAAAAGGGAAAGGAAAAGGAGAAAGGAACAATTCCTCATTGCCAAGATCCCATCCATTGCTGCCCTCTGGCACTGGCAGCCATTCCCTGGGTGCTGTCCCTGCATCCCCTGGAAATTGTCTCTCTCCAGCTTTCCTGGCTCCTTCAGGCCCTGCAGGGCCACCCTGAGCTCAGCCCAAGCTTCTCCCGTGCAGGCGAGCAATCCCAAATCGCTCCTGTCAATCCCGGTTCCGTGATCGGCCGTGCCTGGGAGGGACCCGAGCCTGACAGACCGGGGATCCTGCCTGCGTTTTAAACAGCAATTTAATTATTGTGTTCTCGCTGACAGCGGGCTCTTGAGTGTCAAAAGTTTATAAATAAAAAGGTTTTTTTTTCACGCTGAATGAGAGCAGGAGATGGCCAATTTCCCGCATGTTTTTAATCCTGCAGATATCACAAACATCAGCGCTGGTATTTCGGAGGCTTCCCTCTGGGTGACTCCTGTGAAGATGAGAAGCTTTTGCAGCCTCTGATTGAATGGGGAGGCATGCTGAGATTTTGGCAAGGCGCGCGTGTCTGCAGCACTTCCACGGAACAAGTGTGAACACAAACAAACCCAGCGCTGGAGAGGAGGAGAGCCCCGAGGGAGCGGCAGCGCCCGGCCCGCTCAGCCAGCTCGGGTTTCCCTCTCGGAGAGCGCAGGTACCAAATGTGTTAATTGGGCAGGTGGAGCTCCCCGACACCCCGGGCTGGGCAAAATCCACCTGTACCTGACTGAGACGCAGCCAGGAGGAAATGAGCGCAAAGAAACGAGACAGAAAACGCGGAAAAGGGGCCAGAGCTGAGCGCTGGCGTTTCTCCTCTCCGTGCCTGTGCCCCGATGAGCCGGCAGAGCTCCTGGCCTCGCCGCAGCTGCCGAGCTCTGCGCTCCTGCGGCTTTGGGGGGCAGGATCCCCGGAGGTGCCGCTCTCAGCTGCGAGCTCTCCGAGCCTCTGGAGCCCAGATGGGAGGCAGACAGCTCCGGCTCGCCGAGGCAGCGCCCAAACCGCGTTCAGCTGCGGGAGCTGCAGCCGCAGCCCGGCCCTGGCGCCTCGCGTGCCTCGGATTCCTCCCGGCCCTCCCGGAGGGGCAGCTCCAGCGGGGCCAGGGTACCGCTGGGGCTGGGGGTACGGGCAATAAACCCCTCCGGCAGCAACCTAGCGACATTCCAAGCCATTTCCAGCATGAAAGCCATGGTCTGGTTTTTATTAAGTTATCACTTCATCGTGTTCCCTGATTGCCTTCATTCACGCCTTAGTTGTCTACAGGCGCTATTAAAAAAAATAATACATATTCATAGCGCAGCAAATGGGCTCTGCTCCACATTTTAGTGTCAAAATCAAGTTCGGGTGAAGGGCTCCTCTGGGAGCGCTCCGGGGCCGCTTCCCGGGATGCGCCAGCGAGGGGCGGCGGCGGCGCGGAGCCTTCCCGAGGCCGGGGAGGGGGAGGCGCGACACTTCATCTGTCATCTCACGGCAGAGAGCGTCCCCTCCTTCCTCGCTCCCCTGGCAGGACGGCAGAGCAGCACCGGGCGGTCCCGGTCCCGGTCCCGCTCCCGATCCCCATCCCGATTCCACTCCCAATCCCGATCCCGATCCTGATCCCCATCCCGATCCCGATCCCCATCCCGACCCCGATCCCGATCCCGCTCCCGCTCCCGGCCCCGCGGGCTGCGGGCGGGGCAGGGCTCGTGTCCAGGCGGACGGACAGTGGTCACCAAGGACATTGGTCCCTTAGGGACTCAGATCCCGAGATTTCTGCTGCGGGCTCGGAGAGGGGTTTCCTCTCTGCAGTGGGGAGAGGAAAAAAAAAACCAACAAACAAACCGAGAGAGAAAAAAAAGAAAGAAACAAGAAAAAAATGGAAAACAGAAGAAAAGGGAAAAGAGAAAACGAAGAAAAAAGGGGGAGGGAAAGGGAAAAGCAGAAAAGGGAAAGGAAAAGGAGAAAAGGAAGGGGAAGGAAAAGAGGAAAGGGAAAGGGGAGGGAAAAGGAGCCAGTCCACTGCCCACTTCTCCCTCCCGAGCCCCCAGGGTGATGCCAGACGGCCTCAGGACACAGCGGCCCCGAGCTCCGGCTGCTCCCGGCACCTCCGCCCTCTGTCCATCCCTGCCCTCGGTCCATCCCCGCCCTCTGTCCACCCCTGCTCTCTGTCCATCCCCTCTGTCCATCCCTCTGTCCATCCCGCTATCCATCCCCTGTCCATCCTTCTGTCCATCTCCCTGTCCATCCCGCTGTCCGGGCCATGGCCGGAGGCTGTTCCCCCCGTTCCCGTTGTCCATCCCTCTGTCGGTCTCCCTGTCCATCCCGCTGTCTGGGCCGTGGCCGGAGACTGTTCCCCTCGTTTCCCACTGTCCATCCCGCTGTCCAGGCCGTGGCCCCCCTGTTCCCCCCGTTCCCCCCTGTCCATCCCGCTGTCCATCCCGCTGTCCATCCCTCTGTCCAGGCCGCGGCCCCCCTGTTCCCCCCGTTCCCGCTGTCCCTCCCGGCAGGTGAAGCCCACCCTGCTCGGGTCCCTCCCCAGCCCGGGGGCTCCGGGCAGGTTCCTGCCCCGCCCGGGGCTGCTGGAGCTCCCGGGCCGAGCCGCGCCTGCCGCGCACCCGGGGGACCCCGGGACCCCCATCCCTTTACAGCTCCTTCCCTGGGGAAGGAAACTCCCAGCCTTTGGGCAGAAACTTGCCGAGCCCTGGCGGGCAGGAGCCGAGCGCTGCGGCTTTTCCCCGTCCTCACTCCAGCGCCGCTGCCCGGGGGGGATCCCCCCGCCCGCCGCCCCTCCCGGCCTGCCCGGGGCCCGCTCCCCCTCCTCCGGCCGGGCCCTGCGGGGCTCCGGGAGAGGCTCCGGGGCTCAATTCGTTGTGCTCCTTGTCGCCCTGTTCTCCCCAGCCGCCGGGAGAAGGCAGCGCCCGGCTCCGGCTGCCGCCGCCCGCAGAATAAACCCAAACTTCGCACAGCCCCCCTTCCCGCCCCGCTGCGCACCCCCGAGGCTCGGCCCCAGCCCCCCTCCATCCTCGGGGGTCCCCCCTGCCCCGCCGCAGCCCGGGCGCGTCCCCGGTGGCCGGGACACACGCCGGGCGGCGGGCCCGGCTGTCGCGGGGACAGATTTTCCTAATTGACCTGTTACGGATCATCCCCGCAACCGTTGGGAAACACATTTCCACGCTTCACTTCTTAACGTTTTAAATACATATTTAACGGATGGTTGAGGCTTGCCGGGCCAGCTGGGAAACACACGGGTGTAAAAATAATACAACAAAGGCGAAGGGGCCGGGGGGGCGGCCGGGGGATTTACCCCGGTGCGAGGAAGCTCCGACCCTGTTGCGCGGAGCTGCCGGGGCGAGGGGACGCGCCGGGAGCCGGGCGAGCAGCGCAGCGAGGCGGGAGGCATTTCCGAAGGTCATTTTTTGTTCGTTTGTTAACGCCTTTTACTCTGTCTTTCTTTCTTTCTCTCCCCTCTCCTGCTCCCTTCCCGCTGAAGGATTTTTTGGGGGCAGATTTGAGCGGCCGCTCCAAGAACTTCTCCGGGTCTGTGCGGGGCCGGAGGCGGGGGATGCTCGGGGCGATTCGCTCGCGGGGAACGGAGAGGCCGAAATCCCGCTTTCCTCCGCCTCTCCTTGCCCCGCTTGACGGGGGAATCACGCCCGGGCTCGGGCAGGAGGGGGCACCGGGCGGGGGCAGCGCTGCGAGCGGCCGAGCGGGCGGACGGGCCGGGCACCGGGGAGCACCGACGTGCCGGGGGCTGCTCGCTCCCGTCCCCGCTCCCGTCCCGTCCCGCCCCCCCAACAGCTGTTCCCGGCGCTGTCATTGTCGCGTTTTATTATGGATTTGACAAAAGTCCCTCCCCCCCGCCGGGCTCCCCGCGCCGCTCGGGCCGGCGCCCCCCGCCCCAGCGAGCCGGAGCGGCCCCGGTGACATCAGCCGTGCCCCCGCCGCCGCCGCGGATTGGCGCAGCCCCCCTCCCGCCCGGTGACATCGTTCCTCCCCGGCGCGGCTATAAAGCGGCGGCCGCTCCGCCGCAAGGTGCGCGCTGCTGTGCCGTGCTCGCCCGTCCCGGCGCGCCGCTCGCCACGGTGAGTGCCCCCCGCGCCCGCGACCCGCGCGGACCCCGGCCCGGCCGGCAGCGGCGAGGGGAGGGACGGGACGGGACGGGACGGGACGGGACGGGACGGGACGGGAGCCGCCCC